CCTGTAGTCCCAGCTACTTGGGAGGCTGAGGCAGGAGACTCGCTTGAGCCCAGGAGCTGGAGGTTGCTGTGAGCGTGATGCCATGGCACTCTACCCATGGGGACAGCCTGAGGCTCCATCTCAAAAAAAAATAATAATAAATAATAATAATAATTAAAAAATTAAAAATAAAATTTTCCCCAAAGAAATTTTTCAAATTTTTTTGAGACAGTATCTTACTCTATAGCCTTAGGCTAGAGTGTCATGGTGTCAGCCTAGAGCACAGCAACCTCAAAACTCCTGGATTCAAGCAATCCTCCTGCCTCAGCCTCCTGAGTAGCTAGGACTACAGGTGCCCACCACGACACCTGGTTAGTTTTTCTATTTTTAGTAGAGATGGGCTCTCACTCTTGCCCAGGCTGGTCTTAAACACCTGAACTCAAACAATCCTCTCACCTTGACCTCCCAGGGTGCTAGGATTATAATAGGTGTGAGCCACCATGCCCAGCCCAAATGTTTAATCTATAGGAAAAAAATTAAAATATAAAAAAATTGGGGTAAAATTTCATCATTCAGAAACAAACACTGTTAACATTGGTTTATTTCCTGTTCTAACTCAAAAAGATGCCCTAAGAATTAAACCACCAGAAAATTTTTTTCTGTATAAAGTATAACTAATTTGTATGGCTCTTAACAGATATCAGCTGAATTACTGTAATACTGTGGCAGAATCTTACCCAAAACCCATTTTGAGACTTTTGTTACTATAAAAGAATAACAGAAACAAATGAGAATAAGGGAACTCAATGATATATGCTGCCATTAGCAATCAGAGAAAATGGAAAAAAATAACTGGGGGAGGGAGATGGCAGACTAAGCAAAAGAAAAACACAGAAAGTACAAAGAAAGCTAATATAAATTTTAAAGGAGCGTATAAGATACTATAAGATCAAACTGTATAGATTTTTCAATTTATTCCTAACTTGGCTACTAGCCCCAATCTCATATGAATCCCCTTTACAGACATAAAGTACTAAAAATTAAATAGTGAAAGTGTTACAATTATAATTAATTCTTATCTCCACTAGCAGAATGAAATATTTACCTTAATCAAACTGTTTATCATATAGACAGCAGTATAATACAGTATTAAGGAAGAAGGACTCTGGAATCAGAGTATCTAGGTTCAAATCCTGGCTCTGTCAGTTCTAGTACATGATCCTAGGCAAGTTTCTTAACTTCTCATCTCAGAATTTCTGTGTTGATACAACAGGGATAAGGATAGTACCTACCCTTGTAAGGTGGCTCTAAGGATTAAACGGATTAATCCACTTCAGATACTCAGAACGGGGGTGACATATAGTAAACGTTTGCTAGCATTTATTCGGCTTTTTTAGTACAATGAATGAGAAAATATTCCTAAATGACTCTCTAAACAATGTTCTAACGAAAAGAAAATTATGTTTGGCATATGGTACTACATAATTAGGATTAAGATCTCTCTTAAAATCATTATCAAACACAAAGATACAAATACTAAAAATGTTAGAAATATCCATTCTTTTCACCAATCAGAGTAGCTAAAAGGATTAAACTAGTCTTACCCATGTCAAGTCTTTTCACATCACTGACTTTAGTAAAAATACAAAGTCCTATAAAAAGAAAACACAAAACAGAAACGTTACATATTGAAAAATCCACTTCATATAGATTTAGTATAGAATAGGCAGCCACTCAGAAGTGATGTTTGTGTTCTTTTTTGAGACAGAGTCTCACTTTGTCACCCTTGGTAGAGTGCTGTGAAATCATAGCTCACAGCAATCTCAAACTCTTGGGCTCAAGCAATTCTCTTTCCTCAGCTTCCCAAGTAGCTGGGACTACAGGTGCCCACCACAAGGCCTGGCGATTTTGAGATGAGGTCTTGCTCTGTCTCAGGCTGGTCTCCAACCTGTGAGCTCAGGCAATCCACCCACCTCAGCCTCCCAGAGTGCAAGTATTTGTGTTCTTAGTGGAGAAAAACCTAAGGTGATAAGGAATTGATTTGATGATAGAACAGAAACTAAAACTAGCCTGAGGTACTTCCAAGCCTTTTTGCAACCTGTACTACAGCAATTAGAGACTACCTCCAGAATCACAGAATATTAAAGCAAGAACCAAGTTGGGACAGTCAACCCTAAGAAGACTGAATAATTTGCATAAAGTCATAAAGTTAGTGGCCATACCAAAATTATAATCTAGAAATTCTTTCCAATCCACTGCTCTATTTCCTCATGCTAAATTATTTCATAAACAAATGACAGACCTAGGTCCTATTAAGACTTCTCTTCCATTTGTCTTACTTTGTGATATATAAAGCTACTAATATTAAGGACTACTTCACAGTTGTACAAAGTACTCCCCATTCCTATCTTCAATCAAACTACTACAAATCAAACCCCCTTTGACTATATAAAAATTACTTTCTCCTCTGATGTATCCACTTTTCCCAGAAAAAAAGTCAAAAGCCTCACCACTTGGAACAAAGCTAATAAACATATCCCCCCCCTTTTTTTTTTTGGAGTTCTTCTTTTTTTTGGCTGGAGCTGGGTTTGAACCCACCACCTCTGGCATATGGGGCTGGTGCCCTACCCCTTTGAACCACAGGTGCTACCCCATAATAAACATACCCTTGACACATACACTTTTGACAGATTTCCAAGAGGAGACTAGGGATGGCAATAATCATGTATATTTACAATTTTATCGCCATATATATATGTGTTTTTGTTTTTTTTTTTTTTTTTGCAGTTTTTGGCCAGGGCTGGGTTTGAACCTGCCACCTCCGGCATATGGGGCCGGCGCCCTACTCCTTTGAGCCACAGGCGCCACCCCCATCACCATATTTTTAAAAAGATCGCGCACTTCATCAACTACATAACAATAACTAAGGTTTAAATATATTCAGGAAACTGGATGATAATGGGCTTTATTTATGGTCACAAAACCCAGGTGCACACAAAGGAAGAATGCTCGAGTTTTTCTTGGCACGCTATGAATTAAGCAGAATAATTATCTGATTACCTGGTCTTACCATGGAGAATCCCTAAAGAATTTAAACCTTAGACTTTGACTTCAAATACATTTCCAAATGTCCAATTTAACAAAATCTGGAAATTCTCTGGGCTTCCCTTCTTTAATAGAACAGAATTCTCCAGATTCCAGATTAAGAGAAAAAAATCTGTATCAACCAATAAATTAGCAGTGCTTTTTCCACATTTCACTCTTTCAGGTGGTTTCATAATTGTCATCCTAGCCTGGTTTTTTTTTTGTTGTTGTTTTTTTTTTTTTTAAGAATACCTATTTATGTATGCATTTATTTTTTGAGACAGTCTCACTCTGGTGCCCTGACTAAAGTGCCATGGCATCATAGCTCACAGCAACCTCAAGCAATCTTGGGTTCCAGTGATCCTCTTGCTTCAGTTTTTCTATTTTCAGTAGAGTCATGGTTTTACTATTGCTCAGGCTGGTCTGGAACTGCTCAACTCAAGCAATGTGCCAGCCTTGGCCTCCCAGAGTGCTAGGATTATAGGCATGAGCCAGTGTGCAGGCATATGAATACCAATTAAAACCCTGGGCCCAAAAGAACCAATCCCATGTTAATTTCCTTGGCATTTAGCTGAGAAAGATGGGAAGAGGGAAACAAACAGATTATGTCCAGAGTTTATATGATTTGCCTGAAATCACACAAATGGGGCAAAGGGAAGTTAAGAATCCAGGTATCCCAACTCCAGGACAAATCCACATTTACAGCATCATACAACTTCAAATCTTTTAACATAACCTCAAAGATTCATTTACCCTGGCAATTTAAAAGTAATCTCTAGCTAATCCTGATGAATCCACACTGACTTACAATTTTAAATAAAGCCCCACATTTACATGTTAATACAAATACATCTAGCTTCTTCAGCATGCTTATAGTATTTTCTTCTAGCCATTTTGCAGCTATTAATATATTAGGAGAAAGGATATTTTACCCCAAGGTTCTCCATGAAGTGCTGGATCTGGAAATTTATTTATTTATTTTGAGACAGAGCCTCAAGCTGTCACCCTGGGTAG